AAGAAGCCCCGGTGGGTACGGAGCTCACAGTCTGCCAAGCACCTCTCAGTCCACTGCTGGGCCCCAAAAGGAAAAGTACCAGCCCTGCTGCCAGTGGATGCTTCTGGGTGGTGGCTAAATAGTCTCTCTCAGCAGCTTCAGGGAGGGCAAAGGAAGGGGAGAATAAGGACTCGGTTGGGGATGGAGTGCACAGTGGCAGTCTCTGAAGCTCCCTCCGGGAGGCAGTCCTCCCAGAACAACCAGGCCCTGGACTCCTGCAGATCTCCTAGGCCCCACTGGGGTCCTGTGGCTCCTGCCATCTAGGCCAGAGTTGGGAAATATCTGTGTGGGGTGAGCAAGACAGGTTCTGTAAATGGAGACATTAATACCTACTTCTTAAAGTTGTGGAAGGATTAATGAAGTTAATAATTTCAAAGTGTTTAAAACGTTTCCTGGCACAGAGTGAGGAGTTAATAAAGGCCAGCTATTTTTGTTTGAAGAGGGCATAATTAATTCTAACATTGAAAGTACTCGTGACATTATTTACTCCTTGAAGCTCATAAATCCATTCTCTTCTGGAGATAACTGGGATATAAAATCAAAGTGCATCAAAAGTAGAGACCACATAACTTATTGTACATACTGGGATTGTTTTGAGAGTTAAAGAGGTATGGTTCATAATTAAGGCAAGGTCAGCAGGTGGCTGATGCTGTAAATCCCAGCACATCAGGAGGCTGATGTGGGAGGATCCCTTGAGCCCAGGAATTCGAGGCTACAGAGAGTTGTGATCATGCCACCCCATTCCAGGCTGGGAAACAGAGTGAGACTCCATGTTAAGAATTATAAATGAATAGGCTGGGCATGGTGGCTCACGCCTGTAATCCTAGCACTCTGGGACGCCGAGGCGGGAGGATTGCTCAAAGGACAGGAATTCAAAACCAGCCTGAGCAAGAGCAAGACCCTGTCTCTACTATAAATAGAAAGAAATTAATTGGCCAACTAATATATATCTGTAGAAAAAATTAGCCAAGCATGGTGGCGCATGCCTGTAGTCCCAGCTACTAGGGAGGCTGAGGCAGAAGGATTGCTTGAGCCCAGGAGTTTGAGGTTGCTGTGAGCTAGGCTGACGCCATGGCACTCACTCTAGCCTGGCAACAAAAGAGAGACTCTATCTCAAAAAAAAAAAAATATATATATATATGAATAATAAATTAACCAGGACAGGAGGCATCCATCAGACTGAATCTGGCAAATCCAGATATGAAGGATCATCCTTGCTATAAACTCACCACTCCACAGGGGGCGACAGAGAGCAACCCCCTGGGCTGATGTTACAACACAGGGTTCTCTGAGTCACCCACCCTGCGAGCTCCCTTTGCATAACGGGCCTTACTCAAGGACTGAGAGTTAGACGAGAGCCGGGTGAAAGCAGGCAACGCCCACATTCTGCAGCTCAGAGCCAAGAGCATGGCGGGGAATCCAGGCCTGGAACCCTGCTCTGGCGGATCTGGGTAGTGACAGAGGGTGGAGGGGATGATCCGGGGCCCCTCCTCTGCCCTCACCTGCCTCAGCGGAGACGGCTGCTGTGTCCAGGCAGGGGTCCAGCTAGAGAAGTCCTTTTAAACATGAATCAGATCAAATCCCTTCTCTGCTCAAAATCCCTCCATGGGTTCCGCCTCTACCACCTCTCTGTCCTCGGCCCCCACATTGGGATTGGTGGGCTCACTCATCCTGCACAGGCCACACTGGCCCCCTGGCTGCTCTCCAGACTTCAGGCACATTCCTGCCGCAGGGCCTTTGCACTGGCTGTTTTCTGTGCCTGGGGCACTCCCTCGTCTCCTTCAAGTTTCTGTTCACATGTCCTGATTTCAGCCAGACCTTCTCTATCCACACCTGGCCTCATCCCACACTCCTCTCCCCTCACCCTGCTCTGACTGTATTTTCCCACAGCTTTTAGCACCTCCTGGCATCCCGTACAATTCAGTTACTGTTCATGTCTCTCGATCATGATGCACCCCTCCCCCTCCCTTCCATACACGATGTCAGTGCCACAAGTACAGGGAGTTTTGTCTGTTTGTTCTCAGTGCTGTCCTCAGCTCTAGAACAGGGCCTAGAATGAAGCAGGTGCTTGATAAATATTTGTTGAATGAAGACTAATAATGACCTTTCAGGCCAGGCGCGGTGGCTCAAGCCTGTAATCCTGGCACTCTGGGAGGCAGAGGTGGGCGGATCATTTGAGCTCAGCAGTTTGAGACCAGCCTGAGCAAGAGAGAGACCCGTCTCTACTAAAAATAGAAAGAAATTAATTGGCCATCTAAAAACATATGGAACAAATCAGCAGGGCATGGTGGCACAGCGATAGTCCCAGTTACTCGTGAGACTCTGTCTCCAAAAAAAACACCCAGAAGCCCCAGAGAGCTCCCTGATTCCTTCCACTATGTGAAGATATAGTGAAAAGAGTGAACCAGGAAGCAGGCCCTCACTAAACACAAAGTTGCCAGTGACTTGATCTGGGATTTTCCACCCTCTGGAACTGTGAGAAATAAATTTATCTTTATTAAAAAAATGGGAAAACATTTAAAAAATTAGCAAAGTATCTGAACAGATATTTCTCCAGAATAAATAAATTAAATTGCCAATAATCAAATGAAAAAAATACTAGATATCATTAGCCATTAGGGAAAATGCAAATCAAAACCACAAGGAGATGCCACTCCCTCCACCACCACTAGGGTGAGTAGAATCAAAAGTAACAAGTGTTGGCAAAGATAGAGAGAGAATGGGACCCTCAGAAACTGCTGGTGGGAATGCAATATGCACAGCTGCTATGGAAGACAGTCAGGTAGTTTCTTGAATGATTAAACATAGAGTTAGCTGATGACACAACAATTCCACTCCTAGGTATGCGTTCAAGTGAAATGAAAATATATGATCAAAAAAACTTGAACATGAATGCTAATAACAGCATAATTCACAATAACCCAAAGGTGAACACAACCCGAATGTTCACTGCTTGGGGTTGAATTGTGTCCCCTATAAAGGTATGTGGAAGTACTAGCCTCTAGTTTTTCAGAATGTGACCTTATTTGTAAATCGGGTCATCACTGTTGGAGTCAAGGTAAGATAAAGTCATGAGGGTGGGCCCTTTTCCAATATGGCTGGGTGTCCTTACAAGACGAGGAGAAAGAGACACACAGGGAGAAGAGGGCCGTGTAAAGACTGTGGCAGAGACTGGGATGACACATCTGCAAACCCAGAAATGCTAGGCAAATACCAAAACTAGAAGAGTCAAGGCAGGTTCATCTCCTGTAAGTTTTAGAAGGAATATGGCCCTGCTGACTTGGCCTTCTAAGAAAATTAATTTCCATTGTTTTTTTAAGCCACCCAGTTTGTGGTACTTTGCAATGTGATATGGTTCGGATGTTTGGTCTCCTCCAGGAAATGAAAGGGCTGTTGATTCTCTCAAACCTGTCTCGTACCTCCTGGTTTCGGCCAATCCATTTGGCTTCTTCCATTGCAGTCTTCCATGTTGTAATTATAGGCTTTCAAGCAAATACGATTCATATGTGTATTTTTTTCAATGTCTGGGAACTTTCTAATGGGCTCCTCTCATCAATAAGAATGAAGGCTCTTCTGAGAGTCTGTAGCTCTTTTAAACTTTACCTAGACAAAGATCATGTACTCTGCTTCGTGTATTAGATTTGCACATAAAATCATTTGAAAAAATGTTTTTCACCGCTAAAAATGTTTGATGACCATTGTGCCGTATACTTGCTAGGTGTGTTTGTAGCTATGCAATGCTATATTTATGGAAGGGATGCTAAGACTTTAATGATGTGGGTTTGTATATTTCTGTCTGTTGTGGGCATGGAGATGTGCTGCTTGGATCTTCATTCAAGAAGAACTTTTGGGGGGGATGAGGTATCAAAAATTACCTATTAGGTACGATGTATACTATTTGGGCGACAGGCACCCCGAAAACCCTGACTTCACCACTATACAATTATTCCATGTATCAGAAAACCACTGTACCCCCTAAATCTTTTGAAAAAAAGAAATATTTTTGTGAAAGCAGGAAAAAAAAGGGGATGATGGTCTCTATTTTTTTCCTACTCATAGTCTTTGCCTGTTTTCCCAGAATTCCCATTGATTTTGTGAGCTAAACAATTGCTTTATGGTAGCCAGAAGCCTTTCTACTTTAAGTAGCAAAATTCATTTTATGTTGCCTAAACATAGGAACCTGTTATGGGTCCTGAGGTTCCCTGGAGGTGTGTCATATTGAGGGAGAGTTGACAAAGGATGAGCTGTTATCCCTGGAGTCATGCCTGAACCCCCCTTTTCTCTCATGCCCCACGTGTCATACGTTGGCAAGCCCTGCCATCTCAGACATTGCAATCGCTTCCAAATCCACCGTCTTCTCCCCAGCTCCACTGGTTCTGCTGTGTCTGAGCTCACATCACCGCTTCCAGTAGCTCCCTAATTGGTCTTGGCTCGTGTTCTCAGCAGCTCCTTAATCTGTTCATCACACAGTAGCTAATGCGAGCCTTGTAAAACACACCAGTGCATGTCACACCCTGCTCACCAGCCCTCCAAGGACCTCGACTACTCTCAGGGTGGAGGCCAGGTCCTCACCTCGGCCCGCAAGGCCCCTCCCTGTCTGGCCCCCAGTAACTCCCTGGCCTCATCTGACTGACTCCTACTCTCTGACTTCCTCCACTCCAGGTACACTGGTGTCCTTGTGGATTCCTGAACATACAGCCTCCTGCTTCATGGCTCTGGTGTTGTTAATCGTTCAGACGTGATGGTGGGGAAAGTCACAAAGTCAACAAGATGGATGAGACTGGGTATTCCATGGGGTTGCCCAACCAGAGGGGAATAAGTGGAGGTGGGCTGGCAGAAAAGACAATTAATAACAAGGAAGTAGAACAGGCCATTTCAAGTTGTTTGCTGTGCCCATGTTGGCGTCACACACAACACACAATAAACTTGCCACACTCAGCAGTCTTGGATGCTTTGTTGACTTTTAAAGGCGGCTGGCGGGCGAAGATGAGAATCAGAGAGAAAGGACTGTCGATTACATTTTGGTCAATATCGGGGCGCACACAAAAGGGGATAGTCATCAAGACACAGAATCTACAAGTGTTTGGTGCAGACAGAAACAGGCGGAGGCGATCAAGGGAACATGAAACCTGCAGGCTTAGGTGGGAATCTTGCACAGGGCACACTGCTTTTCTGCTGAACGTTAGAAGTTACACAGCTGTATATTTTCAGATGACCCTCGTTGACTGTGGTGCCAGGACGGTAAAAACTGGGCCTTCTTGCAGGGATGCTGGGAGAAGCGTCGCGATGCGGAGGATGGGTGCGCCTCATGCGAGCAAGGCGGCGCCTTGACGTTTCTCGCTCGCCCAGCAGGGGGCGCTCTCAGCGGGCCACCAGGCAAAGCTGGTAGGTCGGGGGGATGTTGCCAAAGCCGGAGACCATGGGAGTGACGTCGATGTCGGCGGGCGGCACGAGCGAGCGCAGAGAGAAGTTCTGGAGGATGGAGGTGAAGTAGAGGAAGAGTTCCATGCGCGCCATGGCCTCGCCCAGACAGATGCGCTTTCCTGCGGCCACAGGGGAGGGCAAAAGGGCACGTCACACCTGGACAGGTAACAGGGGTGTAGGGGGCACCTGGGTTGACCGCCCCACTGCGCCTCGGCAGCATCTCTAGGGTCGTGATTGTACCCACTTTATAAAGGGTTGTCGCAGGGGTCCTCAAGCTTTTTAAACAGGGGGCCAGTTCACCATTCCTCAGACGGCTGGAGGGCCGTGGGAGAGTGGGGCAGGTTCCACACATGCGCACTGCGGGCGGGGAGGAGTCGGCTGCTAAGCAGGACAGGCAGTGGCCGTAAAAACATGGGGCAGGCCGGTTAAATGTCCCCACCGGGCCATAGTTTGAGGACCCTTGTAAGGCTTAGTAGGTTCCTACATTTAGTACTCAGCTAAGACCTGCCACTTGTAGAGAGACTGAACAGGTGGCAGCTACTTCTCTGATGGCTGGGAGTCCTTGCTATTCCATGATGGAATGGTTCTAAGGGATGCATGAGTTTCCAGCTTGTGTTCATTTCAATTCCTCAAAGGTTTATTAAATGCCTATCAGGCGTCAGACAGCGGTGAAGAAAAAAAAAAAGTGAAAGTTCACACTTAAATAATGCTTACTCTTTGTAAGGCACCTGTCCAGTTGTTTGGAGAGATTAATCTCCATTGCACAGATGGGGAGCTGAAGTAACTCGCCCAGGATGCCACCGTTTGTACATGGTGGAGTGATGTTCAGTTTCCCAGCCACTGCCCTGACTCCAGGTTTTAACTGATGCACATTTGAATGCCATTGTGCAAAGATTTTATGCTGCAGGTGGGCAAACCGTTGTCTGTCAGGTGAATCTGCCCTGCTGCTTGTGTTTATACTGCCTGCAAACTACAAATGCTTCTTGCATTTTTTTAATTTTTAATTTTTATTTTTTGCAACCGCAGCAGGACCTTGCATTTTAAAATGGTTGGGAAAAAAAAAAGAAGAATAACATTTTGTGATATGTGAAAACTAAATGAAATTCTAATTTCAGTGTTCATAAAAAAAGTTTTTCTGGCTCACATATATGCTCATTCATTTAAATATCGTCTATGGCTGCTTTCATAGTAAAAATGGAAAAGGTGAGTAGTTCAGATGGGGACCATCTGGCTAGAAAAACTGAAAATATTTTTTATTTGATCCTTAACAGAAAGGTTGCTGACCCCCTGTTTAATGCTGTTCCTGGTCTAACATTTTTTTTTTCTAATTAACAAGGTCATTGCTTCTAATATTCCTTGATTCTGGGATTCTAAAATTTTATGATTCTATAATGTACACTTCAACTTTCCATTGTGCCTTGAACTTCAAATACAGACCAATGGCTGGAGGGTGAACCTAGCACATACCTGGGGACAGGGGAGCTGGATATAGAAACCTACCAGAGGAAAAAGGTACAAAGGCTTCATTCTTCTTGAAGCGGCCCTGCCCATCCAGGAAGTGTTGCGGATAGAAGGCATCTGGGTATTGAAAGTATTTGGGGTCTTTGAGGACTGAACCAAGCAGGGGAAATACGTCTGTGCCCTGGGGTGAAAAAGGGGAGAATTAGGAGAAATCAGTGTTGGACTCTGGGGGTAGGGAACCAGGAGGAAAGAGGGGTGCAGTGGAGGGTGAAGGGGCGGCAATGAGGGTGCAATCCCACCTTGGGCAGGAGGTAGCCTCGGAAATGAGTATCCCGGGTGACGTTGTGGGGAACACCCATGGGCACGATGTCTGTCAGTCTCTGTATCTCATGGATCACTGCTTCCGTGTAGGGCATTTGGGCCCGGTCCTCAAACCTGGGCTGCCGGTTCTTGCCAATCACCTGGTCAATCTCCTCATGGACCTTGGCTGGAATGGACCAGAAAATAGAGCAGAGAAGGACAGGAGGTGTTTTTTTTTATTTTTATTTTTTGAGACAGAGTCTCGCTTTGTTGCCCAGGCTAGAGTGAGTGCTGTGGCGTCAGCCTAGCTCACAGCAACCTCAGACTCCTGGGCTCAAGCAATCCTTCTGCCTCAGCCTCCCGAGTAGCTGGGACTACAGGCATGCGCCACCATGCCCGGCTAATTTTTTCTATATATATTAGTTGGCCAATTAATTTCTTTCTATTTATAGTAGAGACGGGGTCTCGCTCTTGCTCAGGCTGGTTTCGAACTCCTGACCTCGAGCGATCTGCCCACCTCGGCCTCCCAGAGGACAGGAGGTGTTTTTGTTAGAGAAGCCAGGGCAGATAATACATTTCTATCTCCAGCAGAAAGTGAGCTCTGAGGTGCAGGCCGTGTGCGTTTGGATTGCCTCTTTCTACTTAACAACAGACACATTAGCAGTGCTCAATCAGCACTCACCAAACATCGAACCAGCTGGGGTGTTTGGTCTTTACTTGAAAGCTCCGAGGTGCCATGGAAGGCTAATGAGCAGGGGAGTGTCCTGGGCCCGGCTGGGCTTTCATAGACAGTTTTTTTGTTTGTTTGTTTGTTTTTGAGACCGAGTCTCACTCTGTTGCCCAGGCTAGAGTGAGTGCCATGGCGTCAGCCTAGCTCACAGCAACCTCAACCTCCTGGGCTCAAGCGATCCTCCTGCCTCAGCCTCCCAAGTAGCTGGGACTACAGGAATGTGCCACCATGCTTGGCTAATTTTTTCTATGTATATTTTTCGTTGGCCAATTAATTTCTTTCTATTTTTTTAGTAGAGACGGGGGTCTCCCTCTTGCTCAGGCTGGTTTTGAACTCCTGATCTTGAGCAATCCGCCTGCCTCGGCCTCCCAGAGTGCTAGGATTACAGGCATGAGCCACTACTGCGCCTGGGCAAATTTGTGTAGTTTTAAACTGCTAAAGTTATGGTAATTTGTTACAGTAGCCACAGGAAACAAATACAGACAACAAGTAGGAGATTACATTAAACAGCCTCCCAGTCCCGACCAGATTGTAATTTGTGGGAGATGGATTATATCTGATGTTGACAGTACAGTCAGCTGAATAATGGCCATTGTTTAGAAATGACCTCATTGGTTAGAGATTTCGAGATTCCATATCCTGAGGTTCTAAAGGGTGACCAGTCTAAGGCTGTGGGATGCTAAGTGTTCAAGATTATGTCTTCCTTCTCTTGGGAGTGGGAGGTACCAGATAGGCAGCCTGGGCCGGACACTCACCTTCCACCTCCGGGTGCTTCAGCAGCAGCAAGAATCCATAGCGTAGCGTGGAGCTCACAGTCTCCGTGCCAGCAAAGAAGAGGTTCAGGGTGGTAAGGACCAAGTTCTTGAGGTTGAATTCTGAGTGGGGATTGTCTTTATCCTGAAAGTGAAGGGGATAGTAAATGGAATCACTGTCTTCCATCTTTCTTATTTTCTTATTTTTCTCCCTGGGCATCAGGAGGCATTGATGGATGAACCAAGTGAGTGTCAACAATCAAAGCAGAGGTTCTCAGGGGGGGGCATGCCTGGTGTCTTAGAGGAGTGGCAAGGCAAGGGACAGTGTGGCTGGAGTGGCGGGAACAGCAGGAAGAATGAGAGGAGAAGAAACTAGAGTGCCTTGTAAGATTTGGAAGTTTGAGGGCATTAGGGTATACAATTTTTTTTTAATTTTTTAATTTTTAATTAAAATTTTTTTTATTTGTTTCCTTCAGCAAGTATATAACTTTAAACTTCCAAATGCTAATGTTCTATAACATAAAAATATAACTTTATAAAACTCTAAGAATCGAGGATACAGAAGTATTAAGCTTCTAAATTTCTACATCTCTAAGACTTTAAACTTTTAAGGTTCAACTCTTAAGTTTAAAGACTTTGTTTTTATTTATTTATTTAATTATTTTGAGTCAGAGTCTCGCTTTGTTGCCCAGGCTAGAGTGAGTGCCGTGGTGTCAGCCTCGCTCACAGCAACCTCAAACTCCTGGGCTCAAGAAATCCTCCTGCCTCAGCCTCCCGAGTAGCTGGAACTACAGGCATGTGCCACCATGCCCGGCTAATTTTTTCTATATATATTTTTTAGTTGGCCAATTACTTTCTTTCTAATTATAGTAGAGACGGGGTCTCGCTCTTGCTCAGGCTGGTTCCCAATTCCTGACCTCCAGCGATCCTCCCACCTCAGCCTCCCAGAGTGCTAGGATTACAGGCATGAGCCACCGAGCCCAGCCAACTTTAAAGACTTCTAAGTTTTCCAAATTCCAAGACCCTAAAGACTACAGTTGTAAGTCTTTGACACATGATTAGAAGGGTGTAAGATTTAAAGTTTCTATTTTCCTAAAATTTCTAGATTCAAAGTTTATTTTAAAGGTGTAAGAATTTATACTTTTACAGTTTCCATCTATCTCGTCTGCAGATTAAAGTAAACCGTGAGAAATAATAACTTGTTTTTTTGTCCCCCACATTTGTAGGTTGGGTTTAAAGTTGCAGGCACTAGAGATTGAGGAGGTGAAAAGAAAGGATTAGGGGAGGGGGAGGAGGTACCTGGTGCATCTTGATGATGAAGCAGTCGATGAAGTCCCGTGGGTTTTGGGGGTCAAGGGACGCTTCGTTGATCTTGACCCTGGAGGCAATGAAGTCCTTGAGCTCCTCTATTACATAGTAGATACGATTGTGTCTTCCTGGCAAATATTGCATGATTCCAGAGTACATGTCATATAGCTGTGGGGCAACAGGCAAAAGGGATTTGTCAGCGATCAGCACCAGGGGCTGAGTCAAATCAGACAGCTGAGCTCAACATCCAGGGCTGGGTCTAAGAATTGAGTGAGTCCCTCTTGCTTCTTGGACGCTCATTAATATTAATAAAGTAGTTTTCCCTTAGCACGGTTTCATTTTCCATCACTTCATTTACCTGCAGTCAACACTGTGGTCTAAAATCACTACATACAATAAGATATTTTGAGATAAAGAGAAAGAGAGAGAGAGCATCACATAACTTTTATTAGAGTGTATTATAATTTATAAATTAAACTTTACCATAGATATGCATGTATAGGAAAAACTTAGTATGTAGAGAGTTTGATACTGTCTGCGGTTTCGGACAACCACTATCTTGAAACATCACCCTTGGGGATTAGCAGAGAACTGCTGTGCATGCCTCCCAGGGTTGTGGGGAGGACTGAGTGGGGTATAAGAAGGGGCTTCGTTAGCTGGGGTTGGTGGCATGGGCAGAGAGGTGGCTAGATGGACACCTGTGCCCAGGGCGTACTCATCTCGATGAAAGCCGAGTTGATCATCTGCAGCAGATTCAAGAACTGCTTGTCCTCGTAGTCGAAGCGACTTCCGAACACAACAGAACTGATAACATTGGAGACGGTGCGGCTCAGGAAGAAGGTGGGTTCAATGGGGGCACCTGGGTGGTGGAGATTGTTTATGTTGGAGGCAATGATCGCAAATAAGGGGTGTGGAGTCATTCACTCATGGATCTGGGTCCCGGGTCTACTGCGTAACAGCATGTGTGAGTTACTCTTCCTTACTCTTCCTTTTTTTTTTTTTTTTTTTTTTTTTTTTGAGACAGAGTCTCACTTTGTTGCCTTGGCTAGAGTGCCGTGGCGTCAGCCTAGCTCACAGCAACCTCAAACTCCTGGGCTCAAGCGATCCTTCTGCCTCAGCCTCCCAAGTAGCTGGGACTACAGGCATGCACCACCATGCCCGGCTAATTTTTTTTTTGTATATATACTTTTAGTTGGTCAATTATTTTCTTTCTATTTTTAGTAGAGACGGGGTCTCGCTCAGGCTGGTTTCGAACTCCCGACCTCGAGCAATCCACCCGCCTCGGCCTCCCAGAGTGCTAGGATTACAGGCTTGAGCCACCGCGCCCGGCCTACTCTTCCTTTTTGTTTTGAGTCTAGATTTCCCAGGCTGCACACTGGGAACTACTTCATTGGTTCATGAGGATTTACCATAATTATCCACTATAATGTATAGAACAGTGCCTGGCATGTAGTAAGCACTTAAGAAATACTGGTAGAGCTTAATAATTATTATTTTTATTATTATTTAAATGTATTGGTTTTGGAGAGTCATGTATTTGTGGAAAGAAGTGGTAGTAAAAGACACGTTAATAAAAAAAAAAAGAATTCTTGAATTCTGCCTAGCTCTACCAATGATTCCATCTGGAACAATTAACATATTCACAGATATACAATTTTAAAAATAATTTCTGTTCTGAGAGTATGTATCCGAGTGTCCTAAAAAAATAAAATAAAATAATTTCTGGGGGTGCATGGCCATTTGAAGACTTTCTATTCATCCTTTTAATCATCCATGGAACTTAGGTGAGGAACCTCTGATTTAGACAAATGTATCTCTATTTCCATTTCTTATCGATTTATCTCTGCATTTCTCAGCCTCTGTGCCTTTTCTCTGTAGACCTCAGTGTCTTGGGATCTTATTTTTTTAATTTTTTCTCATTTCAGCATAGTATGGGGGTACAAATGTTTAGGTTACATATATTGCCTTTGCCTCACCCAAATCAGAGCTTGAAGCATGTCCATGCCCCAGACGGTGCGCACCTCACCCATTAGGTGTGAATGAATATATCCATCCCCTCCTCCCCTCTCCCATCTGCCCAACACTCTACCTTATATTTTGGTGGGAGTAGATTCCTTTAAAAATATAATGAAACAATTATAGAGCTTCATATTTGTAAGATGGAAAACTTCTAAAGATTTTTCACAACAACGTGACTATACTTAACACTACTGAACTGTATGTTTAAAAATGGTAACGATGGTAAATTTTATGTTATGTGGGTTTTTTTTTTTTTACCACAATAAAGACCATATAAATATAATGAAATTTGATCCTATCTCCAGAAAAGGGCACAAAATCTGTACATGCTATCAGGAGCTCGCAGATGCCCTGAGATCCACTGATTAAAGTTTCTGGACAAGTGGTCTCTAGGGGCCTTCCACGCTAACTTCTAACATGGTACCTGGCCAGAAATCACAGTGAATCCTTAACAGTTTCCATCCTCTCCCATTCCGGGGCTTTCTCCCACCAAGGCCCATCTTCTCATGACTGAGCTCTCTATAGCCGCCCAGTCACCTAGGGTCCTCCCCCTTGTGGCCCCCATACCCTTGGTCTTCCGGAATTCCTCCAGTAGGTAGCTGGCCTCCTCCTGGATCCGTTCCTCAATGCTCCGCTTTCCCATCCCGAAGTCCCGAAGGATGGTCAGAGAGAAACGTCGGAGAACCTTCCATCGATCTCCATTGGCCATAACTACACCTGCCAGGGTCTCAGTGTCAGGCTTCTGCCTCCCCTCCCCCTTCCTGTGTTCAACTCCATGCTAGACAATGATGAGGACAGATTATGAAAGTTCTAGACTCTGTTGGCAAGGAAGCCCCTCCCAATCTTCCAGGCTCAATGAAGAGAGGAGATCAAAGAAAGTTCTTACAGGAAACAGAGCTGGAACTGGATAAATAAAGAAATGCATGGAAGGTGTAGGGAGGTATGGATAGAATGTATATAAAGCACTCTGAGGCCGGGCGCTGTGGCTCACGCCTGTAATCCTAGCTCTTGGGAGGCCGAGGCGGGCGGATTGCTCAAGGTCAGGAGTTCAAAACCAGCCTGAGCAAGAGCGAGACCCCGTCTCTACTATAAATAGAAAGAAATTAATTGGCCAACTGATATATATATAAAAAAATTAGCCCGGCATGGTGGCGCATGCCTGTAGTCCCAGCTACTCGGGAGGCTGAGGCAGGAGGATCGCTTGAGCCCAGGAGTTTGAGGTTGCTGTGAGCTAGGCTGGCGCCACGGCACTCACTCTAGCCTGGACAACAAAGTGAGACTCTGTCTCAAAAAAAAAAAAAAAAAAAAAAAAAAAGCACTCTGAAATGGGATACTAATTTTATTTTCTATAGACCACTTCAATTCTCTAGATATATGTATGTACCTGTACACAGAAGCTCATACTTGTACATGGATATATCTATACAAAAGGAGTTACCATGTAGCAAGAAATATTTATAAATTACCAAATGTATGGATTGATGAGAGTCTTGTTCTGATGCATTGAAGTTTAATAGAAATTTAATGAAATTGTTTTTGATGATTGATGAATAGCAGAAAGGGTTTATGACTGGAATGACGGATGGATGGTTGAATAGATGAAAGAGTTAATAGATGGGTGAAGGGTTGATGGATGGATGATTTGAGATACATGAATAATGGTTGGAAGAATGGATGGATGGATGGAAAGATTAATAGATGTATAAATGATGGAAGGGTTAATGAATGAATGGATGAAATGGTGGATGGATGGATAAACAGAAAGTTGATTGATAAAAGTATACATAATAGAGCAAAAGACGTTTGCATAGAAAGAATAATAAATGGACTTTTAATGAATTTATGGATCAATGGACATAAGGAAGAGAAGGTACAGGGATAGATAGATGGAAGGATGGAAAGAATGGGGTGAGCTTGTTTGGAACTGAAGGATGTGGGCAGTTAGCGATGGATGCATTGGAGAAAGGGATCTACCTAACTAGAGAAGGCAGAGACCTATGGGTTAGACGCGTGTATGTGTGTAGGAAGATGAGAAGTAAGGTTGGCCATGAGGGCTTCAGTGGATACATAGAGTATAGAAATGACCCAGAAAACACTCTAGAGTCAGATGGTGTGGGCTCAATAGAAAGTGGTCCTACCACTTACTGTGTGACATATCCTAACCTTTCTTACCCTCTGCTTTTTCATTTACAAAATCAGTACAATACTAATAGCTCTCTGAAAGGAGTCGATGCAATAATTCATGTAATTACCAAAGAACTTGGAACATAAGGAGTACATTATAATCAACTTCTGGTTTTTTTTTGTTTTTTTTTTTTGAGACAGAGTCTCACTCTGTTGCCCAGGCTAGAGTGAGTGCCGTGGCGTCAGCCTAGCTCACAGCAACCTCAGACTCCTGGGCTCAGGCGATCCTCCTGCCTCAGCCTCCCGAGTAGCTGGGACTAAAGGCATGCGCCACCATGCCCAGCTAATTTTTTCTATTTATTTTTAGTTGGCCAATTAATTTTTTTCTATTTTTAGTAGAGACGGGGTCTCACTCTTGCTCAGGCTGGTTTCAAACTCCTGACCTTGAGTGATCCTTCCACCTCGGCCTCCCAGAGTGCTAGGATTACAGGTGTGAGCCACCCACCGCGCCTGGCCTCAACTTCTGTTTTTATTGTTGTTGTTGCTACCTACCATAACCTTGGAAGTTTCGGTCTATTGAAGCCAAGTTTCCACGGCCACTGAACTCCTCTGCTTGGTCTACCAGGGCTTCTTTCACTACTTCATGTCCACATAAAACAACTATTGGCCGCGGTCCCATGTACACAGTGAACACAGGGCCGTATTTCTCGCTGAGCTGGAAGTGAAGGAAGACACAAGAGGAGGGAGTTAATTGGAATACCAAGTGTAGACCAATCAAGGATTTTGAAGGATAATGATTTTATAGGGATACAAATATAGGAAGAATAATGAATACAGTTAAACCCTGGCCTTGGAAGGACTACCGGGAAAAAGGTATAGAAATCTTTGCTCCTGTGATCTCGGGCAAGAACCTGCCCCTTCTCTCAAGACTTAGTTCCCTCATCTGTAAAATCATAAACCTGGATTAGAAGAATTCCGAGATCCATGCTTCTCTCCCTGAAATGCTGAATTTCTAGAATCTTAACATTTCATGATACTAAGTCACAAATTTCTAAGACAACCTGAGTACAAGAGTCCTTGGCTTAAAAATATAATGTACTGCGATTCCAAAGTCCTGAGATTGTGAGAGTCTTATTTCGATGCCCTAGGAACTTGTGTTTCCAAAATTTTAGGATTCTGGAATTCCAGCATTCTAAGGTTTGGAAAGTCTGTGTTTCCAAAAGTCTGTTTTCAAGAAGTCATAAGGCTCTGTGTGTACCGGGCTGTAGCACCAGTTGCTTCTGGCCCTGTGAGGGGACACTCACCTTCAGGAAGGACTGAAAGGTGGCATCAGTGCGAACTTGTAGCAGGTTCCCCAGGAAAGGTATTGGTGTGGGCCCTGGGGGCAGCTTTCCTCCCTTGTTGATTTGTCTCCAGGCAATGAGGATGATGAGGCATGACAAGCAGAGCCCCAGAAAGACGGTGAAGGCTGCTCCCAGCTCCATGGTGGTGCCGGGCCAAGAAGTTGTATCCTGGGCACCAGATCTTGCCTAAATAGGTTCTGGCAAATCAGCTTATACAGAAATCTGAACACCCTCGGATTTGAATTTTCTGGGCGCAGACACCATCAGGGAAGAGATTGCCTTTTCTTGGGGGGTGGTTATATAACCTATAATCTCCTGCCTGAATAAAGGTAAATTGAATACACACAAGGAAAGCCACTGGGGCCATTCCCCTTTCTTTGTATTTCCAGTCACCCAGTTCTTCTCCCTCAGCTTAACTCATGATTCAGCATTTCTTGGTGGGGTGCAAGAGGCAGTTGAATATCTTTTCAGGCTATTGAGTTTAGGGTTCAGACAAGTTTCAGCTTCATCTTTTCTTCACTGGGCAAGTCACTTAATTAACCTCTGGGCCTGTTTCCCAATCTATCAGATAGGGTGACCATATTGTTTTAGAAAGTCTTTCTTTTTCTTTCTTTCTTTCTTTTTTTTTTTTTTGAGACAGAGTCTCACTCTGTTGCCCAGGCTAGAGTGAGTGCCGTAGTATCAGCCTAGCTCACAGCAACCTCAAACTCCTGGGCTCAAGTGATCCTCCTGCCTGAGCCCCCTAAGTAGCTGGTACTAAAGGCATGTGCCACCATGCCCGGCTAATTTTTTCTATATATTTTTAGTTGGCCAATTAATTTCTTTCTATTTTTAGTAGAGATGGAGACTCACTCTTGCTCAGGCTGGTTTCGAACTCCTGACCTTGAGTGATCCTCCTACCTCTTGGCCTCCCAGAGTGCTAGGATTACAGGCATGAGCCACCCTGCCTGGCCATGTTTTAGAAAGTCTGGATAGACAACAGGGAAGACTTTTTGTTCATCCTTTAATTAGAAAGGACCCTCATTAATCAGTTTTTTAATTAAATATAAAATTTTTTAATATTACACATAATAATGGTACGTATTTATGGGTACAGAATGATTTTCTTTCCTTTTTTTTTAAAGTCTCACTCTATGGCTGGGCTAGGGTGCAATGGTGTTGTTATAGCTCACTGCAACCTCAAACTCCTGGGCTCAAGAGATCCTCCTGCTTCAGCCCCCTGAGCAGCTGGGACAACAGGTGCACGCCACCACACCTGGCTAATTTTTCTATTTTTTTTTTTTTTTTGTAGAGACGGGGGTCTCAATCTTGCTCAGGCTGGTCTCAAACTCCTGGCCTCTTAAAGTGTTAGGATTACAGGCATGGGCCACCAAGCACAGCCACAGTATGATGTCTTGATGCATGTGTACAATGAGTAACAACCAAATTAGGGTAATCAGCATATCCATCACCTGACACATATCATTTCTTGGTGGGAAGAACATTCAAAATCCTCCCTTGTAGCTATGTCTTAGATCTGCTGCTAGGATGTCTTTCTCAGGGTAGAGACCCAAGTTTAGGCTGCCTCCTTGACTCTGTCAGTTTTTTCCTGCCTCCCATTCGGGTCCCCCCAACACACTCCCTCCTTATACCCATTCAGGGCTCGTTTCTTAACTACCCTGCAGTGGCATGTGTGCAGTGGTGGTGGTTTGTGAGTCTGGTTTTCATATTCAGACAGGAAGGGAGAGAGAGAGTGTCCTTACCCAGGTGAGGGAGGGAGTGATCTGATCTCTCCACCTAATCCAGTAAGGATGGAGCTGGGGGAGGCATCTATGAGGCCAGGTTGACGCATTGAGGAAAAAGGAGAGGGCTAAGAAGGGTGAGAAGGGAGAAAATGTTCCTTCCTGGCCTCTTCCTTATCCATCACCCTGCCCCTCTGGAATTATAGCAATTACATAATCATAAAAAAAAAACAACACACACACAATTACATAAGCACCTCTACCTTACTCTTCCCACAGGCAGAGAGCCAGAAGGGGAGGTATCTGGGCAAACAGCTTAATCTTTATAACCACCTGTGAAGAGCATTTGAGAGCAGGAGGTCTGGCCCCATTCTTCCAGAGCCTTCCTCGTAGGAAGGCAGAGGGCTGAAGAATGCCTTCCTTCTGTTAACCCAACAATGGGTGAAACAAAAGCAGAGCAACCTTGTACATGAATGTTCATAGCAGCCTTGCTCACAATAACCAACAGGTGAAAGAAACACAAGTGCCTACCAACAGGGGAATTAATACACAGAACGGGTCTGTCCATCCAATGGAATATTATCCGGCTGTAGAGGAGCAAAGTACTGACACATGCTACAATGTGCATGAACCTTGAACACACTGTGCTCAGTGAAAGAAGCCAGATACAAAGGTCACATGATTCCATTTATAGTCCATGTATTCCATTTAAAGGAAACTAACAGAATAGGTAAATCAATAGAGACGAAAGCATAGTAGTGGTTGCCAGGGGCCAGAGGGAAGGGAGAGGAATGGTTACAGGGTTTCTTTCTGGGGTGATAAAGTGTCTTGGAACTAAATGGAGGCTGTGGTTGCCTGGTATCATGAATAGCTACCTGTGCTGCCTCACTTTTGCACACTTTAAAATGGTTAATGATTATTTTATGTAATGTGAATTTTGCCTGCAAAGAAAAACAAAAAGAGCAAGGAAGCTCGAATATTCATTTGGCTCCAAAATAGAGAACTTTATTTTGATCTTATTGATTTCAGAGGTAATAGAGATCAGAGAGGTAACAGAGTCACACAGCACAGAGGGGTTGGGGGCTAGACTGGCCCTTTCAACTCCATAAAGGAAAGAAGGGTAGGGGTGGAGGATGGGGGGGGGTTGAGGGACTGAGGTAAAATACCTGGTTCTGCTGCTGCTGTCCTGTGTAACTCTGGATCTAAGTATTTTCCTCACTTGGGCCTCAGTTTCCCTAATTGCTAAGTAGGGTGGTTATACTAAGTTATGGAAGGTATTTCTAGTCCCTGAAACCCTAAGGTTGTATCCTTGGTCAACTGTGAAGGCCATCTAGGGACGAAGGGAGACTACAGCAGGCTGGATGGAAGAGAGACCAGAGAAAGGACTTCCCACTGCAGAGAGTCAGCAGGGAGCAGCCCAGAAGGGCTCTGCAGATTCATTCTGTGCAGAGGCTGCAGCTGACTGGAAGGAGCCTGAGGGGACCTGCATTCCTCAGCCTCTTGCCAGGGGCAGGAAGCAGAGCTGGAACACAGGGCAGAGGCGAGGAGGGAGTAGGATCTTCCCCAACCCTTTCACCTGGGCCACGAGGTTGATGTTCTGTGGCACCTAAAGAACAGGAGGCACAAAGAGGAGCCCATAATGTTTTCCAGGAATGGCAGAGGTGGCCCGGGAAGGAGGCGGCCCCAGGCCCAGAGTAGCAAGAGACCAAGGGGACAATGAGGAGTGAGAAGCCTGAGGACACCATGGCCCTAATTTCACCCACCTTCCATCCTATTGTCCCTCTTAAAGGGCGGGTTGTGCTGTTTGTTGGTTCATTTCCGCGGAGGGGGAAGGGGTGCCGGCAATCTGTTCGGCAGAGCTCCTGCTAGCTCTGTGGAAGCCACACGGTTAACAAAGGCAGCAGGTGTTGCAGGGGCCAAAAGGTTAGTGTCTCAGGGTTGCGTCCCATGGCCGGCTTCCCTCGGGCCACTGGTGGGTGGGGTGTCTTCTGGGCAATGCCTGGGAAGGGTGGTGGCACCAGCTGGTGGGACGTATGAAGCCCAGATTCAGAGTGGTTCCACTGCTAGGGTAGCTGTCAGGCATTTTTGTCAAAGGGTGGCATTGCAGCATGAGGGGTCAAGAGTAGCTGGCAGGAAGAACTGGGGGCATTCTGTGCCCTTTGGGGACAGGAATTTATCCTGGGTATCAGATGAGAGACATGGAGGAGATCTGGTCTGACAGAGGAGACTGGCTCCATGTGGGGTGGGTTTGGGGGCGTGGCTGACGAATTCATTCATTCACTCATTCATTCCTCAGTAGATATTTTGAACACTTGTCATATGCCTCAAGTGCTGAGACACAGCGATGAACGAGACAACGTGGTGGCCCTTCACAAAGTTGACACTGAGGTAAGGGAGAAATTCTCACCAAAGTCCTTCCAGAAAAATCTCAAGGGACTTGAGAATACATGAGTCCCCCACAAAATGGCACAGATCGCCTCTGTGACCCCGGGGAGGTCAGGCTTTAGATGTTTATTTGATTCTCGGGGGACTTGAGAATAAATCACACAGCTCAGGAGACCACGGGCTGAGGAGGCCCTTTTACAGCAGGGAGAAGTAGGAAGGGCAGCAGAGAGTGAGGAAGAGGAGGGACTTTGGCAGGGTTGTGACTGTGGTCCTCAACATGGACGAACTTGAAAATATTGATCAAAGTGAGAGACCAGACACAAAAGACCACGTACTGTATGATTGCATTTATAGGAAATACCCAGAATAGGTAAGTCCACAGAAACAGAAAGCAGATTGGAGTTTTCCAGGGGCAAGCAGGGAATAGTAAAGGGGCATGACAGCCTAATAGGTCTGGGTTGTAGTTTTTTCACCTAGGGAGGATGCTCAAAATGTTTGGAACTACAGCATGGTGAATGAACATTGCCACTACCTCTCACAGTGTAAGTGGTTAATTTTATCTTATGTCGATTTTCTCTTAATTTAAAAATATACATATGAGAAAGAGGGAGCTGTGATGGAGAGTTTGGGTTCTAGAGCCAGACGCTGTGCGTGGGGGAAGGGCTCGGGCTTGCAGCAGGTCTCTCGGAGGAAGGCAGTTGTGCAGGGAGTCGGGGGCCATCGTCTTCGGAGGTGGGGACACTTAGTGACCCTGGAATCCTTTCCCCCTTTCCCTCGGGCCTTTCAACGAGGCAGGAAGCGGATCTGGTATGTTGGGGCTACTTTGCCCAGACCACTCTCCTGCGGCGTGAGGTCCATGTCCTCAGGTGCCACGGGACTGGCCAGGGAGAAGTTCTGGAGGATGGTGGTGAAGAACAGGAACAACTCGTTCCTGGCGATGCCTTCACCAAGACAGATGCGCTTCCCTGTGGGCACAGGAGGAAGATCAGCAGTGTGGGTACAGGGCGGGTGCACGCTCTTTGCCCTGCCACGCCCCTAAGCCTGGACACTTGTGTCCATTGCAGCAGATTTCCATGAGATTGGCCTTTTTTTTTGTTTTTTTTTTGGAGACAGCTCATTGTTGCCCGAGGCTATAGTGCTGTGTGTCAGCTAGCTCATAAACTCAATATCCTGGGCTCAAGCGACCTTCCTGCTCAGCCCCCGATGTAGTGGGACTACAGGCATGCGCGTACCCTATGCCTGGCTGAATTTGTTTTATTATTTAGTGCCAGTTAATTTCTTTGTATTTATAGGGAGATGGGGTCTCGCTCTTTGCTTCAGGCTGTTGTTCGAACTCTTGACCTGGAGGCAATCCAGCCACCTTGGCCTCCCAGAGTGCTAGGATTGTCGGCGTTGAGCCACTTCTCTCCGGGCGATGATTGGCTCTTTAACTCCTGGAATCTATTTTGGTGGACTTGTCGGTGGTTCTCAAACGTTCCTCTGAATAACTGTGCAGATTCTGGCTTGGTGGGATCTGCCACACTCATTTCTCTAAGAGAAGTTTGTGTGTGTGTTTATTTTCCTTTTATTTTGTTATGTAGGTTTGTTTGAGTATTATTATTTTCTGCCTTTTAATTTTATTCTTATGTCATTCATTTCTCTTCTGTGATGTATATAGTATTCATCTTCTGATTTGTGTGCTCTTTGTGCGGTATAAAGGATAATTTGTTCTGTAATATATTACTTTTATTGAATAGCATCTCTGTTTGATATTATGATTCTTCTTTTCAATTGTGTAGTTATGCTTGTGTTTATTTCTGGAGCATTTTGTTTGGTTATGGTTGTGTTTTTGGTTTTTGTTTCTATTTCTTGTGCTGTCTTTCTTGCCTCTTGCCCTCAGATTCCTATTCTGGTCTTCAGTACTTTTCCACTCATAATATTCCATATGTCATTATTTAATTATTAATAATTGTGTATGTGTGTGTCATCACATGTTTGTGTGTTTTGTTTTTTTTTTTTGTTTTTTTTTTTGAGTTGGGAACTATTGGTCCTTAATCTCTCTGATGATTGTGTATTCAATAGCTCCTTTCTCCCCTTAGTTATGATTCATTAAACCACAGGGTTGATGAAAAGAGAATCAAAACTGGTGAAATCCCAGATTTTTTTGCTAGTTAGATGCAAGAGATCTCTTACTGTTCCTATATTCTGCATAACTGACGTTGATTATTGTGCTGTTCAAATTGTTGGTTTTTTCTCTATGCATCCCTTTGATGTTTGTTCTCAGTGGGTGCTTGTTTGCTCGTTTTGCTACAGTATTTTTTTATCTGGTGATAATGATTCTCACTCTTTTGGATCTATTTTTGCATAATTGCATGTTGAGATTCTATGGATTCTATATTCATTGATGTGAAAATTTCTACTCTAGTGTCTAGATTTTTTTTTTTTCCTGGTTTGTTGTGTGTCTTGCTGGTTTTTCCTTGGTCTCTGTTCTCTTTGTTTCTCCGTTTTTTTCCTGCTCTTTTTATTCGTCTTTTATTTTCATATCTTATCTTTCTTGTTTGTTTTTTGTTTTTGCCGAGTTTGCGTGTGCTATTTTTTTTTTTTTTTGCTTGATTTGGTCATGTGATTGTTCGTATATATCGCTTGATTGCTTTGTTTGGATTCTCCTCGTTCTTTCTACTTTAAATATAGAGAAATGAATGCCAACTGAAAAATATATGTGAAAAAAGTTAGCCGGCATGGTGGCACGAGCCGTAGCCAGCTACTGGGAGCTGAGGCAGGAGGATCCGCTGAGCCAGGTTTGGAGGTTCTGTAGCTAGCTGATTGCCAGGCCTCACTCAAGCCTGGGAACAAAGGAGATGCGGTCTCAAAAAAAAACAAAGCCAAAAAAACAACGCAGGGCCATGTCTCTGGCTGGGACTTCTGTAAGTCTTGCTGTGACCTAGTTTTTCCCAGAACAGCCCGACGCCTGTCCTCTCCCTCCCAACAACCTGCAAACCCCTGGGGCTGTCCATTAGGACACCCTCTGAAATCTCGTCGGCTCCAACACCTTCTCAGGTGGTTTGTATTCTTATGCCTTGGATCTATCACTGTCTTTTTCTCTGTCTACACCTGTCAGGCAGTTTTTCTGCCTAGCTTTTCTTTTCCTCCTCTTTTTTTTTTTTTTTGTTTTCTTCTATCTTGTGGAACCCCCTGTCTCTGTCTAGTTGAGTCTCATATTCTCTGTCTCTCATTTTTCTTTTTCTTTTTTTTTTTTTGGAGGACAGAGTCGTTCACTTGTTGCCCAGTATGAGTGATGCCGTAGCGTCAGCCTAGCTCACAGCAACCTCAAACTCCTGGGCTCAAGCGATCCTCCTGCCTCAGCCTCCCGAGTAGCTGAGACTACAGGCATGTGCCACCATGCCCAGCTAATTTTTTTCTATATATATTGAGGTTGGCCAATCTAAATTTCTTTCTATTTATAGTAGAGACGAGGTCTCGCTCTTGCTCAGGCTGGTTTCGAACTCCTGACCTTGAGCAATCCGCCCGTCTCAGCCTCCCAGAGAGCTAGGATTACAGACGTGAGCCACCGCGCCCGGCTTTGTCTCTCATTTTTCATCTCCCTCTAAAAATACCTGTCTCTCTCGTTCACTCTGTTTCTTCCTCCCTACCTAAGTCACTGTCTTTCTTCTCTCTCATATTCTGTTTCTCTCTTTCCTTCCTTCATTCCCTCCTCCTCCCTCCTCTTTCCTTGTCCTCCACTCCCTCCTCCTCTTACTGTTCCTCCTCCTTCTCCATGTCTGTCTCTCTCTGCTTCTATCCTCTTCTCCCTCTCTCGTCTAACTTTCACTTTCTGTCTGTCTCTTCCAGCCACTCTCTCCTTGTCTCTGTCTCTCCATGTGTCTCTCTTTGTCCCTCCGTTTCTCACTCTCATTGTCTCTCTGCTGCTTATTTATCTGCCTCTGTCCTTATTTCTCCACATCTCTGCCTCTCTTAAAACTTAGGATAGGCCTATCAAATGAAAGAGCTGACCCTCTTCCCGCCACCCCATGTGTTCCCAACTCTCACTGAAGTTAAACGAGGAAGAGGGTCACTGCATCACACAGAGACACAGGCTGAGCCAGAGCCCCCGGTGACTGAAGTTGATGATGAAACTCAAGACCAGGGACTTGTTCCCGGGATATTCCTTCCTTTCAAAAGATAAGAAACCTGGATATTGGGATTTTCCGTGGGCGGAGCCTGTTAAATTAAATTATATTTGGCCTAAAGTTGCCTTTATACATAACAAACTTTAACCTAACTTACTATGTAAACAAACTACAATCTAACTTGAGAGTATATTCTTGTAAAAGGTAACTGAGCCTTGGCCAATCATAACGGCCGAGCTTCAGCCAATCATAGGCTTCAAACCACTCAGACAGGTCCAAACAAGGCAAACTGTACCCAATCAGGCTGTGTCCATGGGCCACTTCCTTCTTCCCTGGATGAATACTGCTTGCCCATGTTCAGGGTGCTGCCCAATTCATGAATCGTTTCTTTGCTCAAATAAACTCTGGTAAATTTAATGTGGCTAAAGTTGTTCTCTTAAGAAGCCAAAGAGTGGAGAATGGGAACTAGTCCAAGTCAGACCATGTGAAGACCTTCCCTGCCTCCCGAGTGCTGGAGTATAGATCCAAACTCTTTGCCCAGCCTTCAAAGCCCTGCCCAGCTGAGCTCTTCACCTTATTTCCTTCAGGAATCTACACCCAAGTCTCCCTTGGCCTTCTTATAGTTTCTCAAATATGCCAGCAGGTTTCTACCTTCAGGCTTTGCCCTTGCTGTTTGCTCTTTCTAGAACACTCTTTCCAGTGGCTGATTGGTACTCACCTAGGAGCAGCTCAACTTGGAAGCCAGCTGCTCCGGTAAGCTCTTCCTCACAGACCCACCGAGGTTAGTCAGTGTTTCCTATTTTGTGCTCACCAAACCCCCTTTAGAGCACTTATCATGATTACGATTAATTATAGTAATCCTCGCACCTGTGAGCATTTATTTTTGTGCCAGGCTGTTCTCCCCATGTTAAATACATCAGTTCATTTACTCGTATTGTTATTTGGTGGGTGCCCATCTCCTCTGCTGGACTGAAAATTTCCTGGGGCAGGAGCTATGTCTCTATATGATTTGTTTGATGCATTATCTTCAGCCCCCAACAGAGCACTGGACTAAGAGTTGTCCTCAATAGATTTTTTTTTTTTATTGAAGAAAATGAATTGACTAAAGTTTAGGGAGATTAAAATACTTGCCCAAGGTCCCACTTGGCAAGATGTACCTTTGGGATGTAATCTCCTTCCTCAAGCCCCCTCATAGCGTAGTAGTAAAGATGGAATGTGATCACACAGATAAACACATTAGAATACACTAAGTGTTCCATAAACAAGGACCGAACCCAGCTTGTCTCAGGAAGAGAAGGAACACAAACTCCAGAATCTGGGAAAGGGGTCTCGGGTCCACCTTACCTAAGGAAAAGGGAATAAAAGCTTCATTCTTCTTCAGTGCCCCATTGGCATCCAGGAAGTGGTCAGGGTTGAAGGCCTCTGGTGTTTCAAAGTAGCGTGGGTCACGGAGAGCAGAGTTCAGGATGGGAAATACTTCGGTGTCCTGAGGGCGGGTCACAAGATAAAAAAATATTCCCATTCCCTGGGCAAGCAACAACAAAACCCCCCAAAAAAGAAAACCAGAAACAAGGGGACCCTATTCAGAAAGCAACAAAAAGTTGAGTTTTGGGATGAGGGGAACCCAGGGTGCCCGCACGAGAGAGACGCAGGACCCCGCTGGGCTCACCTTGGGGATGATGTATCCTCGGAAGTGGGTGTCTTTGGTGACAATGTGGGGCAAACCAAGGGGGATGAGGTCTGCGAATCTCTGAATCTCGTGGATGACGGCGTCCGTGTACGGCATTTTGACCCGGTCGTCGAGGGCTGGAGGACGATGTGCGCCAACCACCTGCTCAATTTCCCTGTGGACTCTCTCTGCACAGAAAGGGGACCCGTGAACCCCATTTCAAAGAGACATCTCACTGATTTCTATAGGCAATTAGCCAGGAAAATCCTATGCTAAGGGTTAGATCATTGATATATCTCAACACAATCAGCTTGGGGTGAGGGAGGGAGGAAGCAAAAAGAATTCTTACCCTTCTAAATATAATGAGTGTCATGCATACTGTCCTCACATGCATGAGTACACACACACACAAACACACACACACACAATAATTTTACATGGAATTTCAGATCAAGAACTCTAGGATACAAACATGCCAGAACTGTCTCTCTGAGTAGAAAATGAACTAATGTTTGTTGTGTGTGTATTATAAGTGAGGCACTGTGTTAGATTCTCAAGAATAGAAGAGTGAAATAGATAGATTAATGCATGAACTACTGGATAAATAAATGAATACAACAATCAATCAATGGATCAATTCATGAATGAAAAGATGGATGAATGAATGAACAAACCAATAAATGGATGTGTGTATTCACTTATAAATCAATAGATGGATCACTTAATGCATAACTAGATAATAGATGGTCCAGAAACAAATGAATCAATGAACCTATTATAATTAATCAATAATCATATGAATGGCTAGATTTATGGAAGATAAAGGCTTGAAAAAATTAGTGAAGTATGAGTAAATAAATGCATGGGTAGATTGAATGATAAATAAATAAGGAATGAATAAATGAGTGAATTATTTAGTGGATAAATTAAGGAAGGGATGGATGGATATAGAATGAATTGATAAACCAACTGAGGGAAGGATTAAGGAATGGAATGTTGTTTATAAAAGGATGGGTGGATGCATGCATAAACAGATGAGCCAGTGAATTAATGACAAATACTCCATTGAACATGTCACTGCTGCGAAGGATCAACTAATTCAAATAAATAAATGATGAAAGTGCATTTCCTTGGATGAATCACAGAAGAAAGAATCAATGAGTATGCAGGTGAATTAATGAATAAAAGAATGGATAGATGAAACGATGGACGGATGAACGGGTAAATCTTTAAGTGATGACACAGAAATTCAATTATCTCATGTTCTCACCCACAAGTGGGTGCTAAAAAACGTGTACATGTGGACGAAGAGGAATGATTGACAGTGGAGATTTGGAAGGGTGAGGGAGGCGGATGATGAGAAATTACTTAATGAATACAATGTATGTTATTTGGGAGATGAATATGCCTAAAGTTCTGATATGACCACTATGCAGTCTGTACATGTAAGAAAATTGCACATATACCCCATAAATTTGTACAAACAAAAAAATGTAGAATGCCCTCCTGCCTCAAAAGAGTCTTTAAGTGATGGGGGGAAACAGTGGGAGAGCAATTCGACAGATTCTGCGTGCATCTACGCATCCACCAAAAAAACACAGAAAGGAACTGGAGCCCATTCTCCTAAGTGACGTATCTCAAGAATGGAAAAAGAAACACCACATGCACTCGCTATTAAAGTGGAGCTAACCCATGAGCACACGTGTGCACAGAGGGAAGTACAACTCAGTGGAGATCAACTGGGGGAGGGGAGGAGGGGGAAAGAACCCACCTGTGGGTACCATGAACACTATTTGGGTGACAGGCTCACCTACCGCTGGGACTCAAGCATTACAAAGGCTATCTATGGAACCTAAAACATTTATATCCACATAATACAATGTTTTGAAATAAAAAATAAAAAAAAAGAGCTGGCTTAGTTGGAGAATGGTCCAAAGCCTGCAGTTCTTCTGGAATAACAAGCCAATGTCTCCTCACTCATCCAGGCAGGAACCCTCACCCCACTTCTGCAGCTCAGAGGGAGTCAGAGAACCCCCAGTTAGCTGTCCTGGCCCACCTGTGACATGAGGGTGTTTGAGCATGAGCAGGAAGCCGTAGCGCAGGGTGGTGCTGGTGGTCTCAGTGCCAGCAAAAAAGAGCGAGAGCGTGTTGAAGATGAGGTTGTTCTCACTGAACTCACTGTGTGGGTTGGATTTCTCCTGGGTGCAGAGCAGAGAGGAGGGGAGGGTCAGGCGAGGCTGTGGCCTCACTGTGCACACGCCAGTGTCGCTGGGTCCCCTCCATCCGTTTCAGGGTCTCTCCCTCTGTCTGGCCCATTTAGCTTTTCTCTGTCCCCTGCAGGTCCAGCCATGTGTGTCTGTCCCTGTCTCGCTCAGCTCTCTTTGGCTGTTTCCATCTCTCTCCCCATCTCTGGTGTGTTTCTCTTTTGTTTCCCAGTCTCTTTCTGCCTCTGTGGGCCATTTCTTCTGTTGCGGTATTTTTGTCCCTTGCCCTGAATTTCTTCCTCATAGCCAGCTCGCTCTCTCTCCCCCTCCACTGCTCACTTTCTCCTCCCTACTTTCTCCTTCCTTTCATCTCATCTTTCTTTCCCTTCTGCATCTCCCCCCTGCCTTTTCCTACTCCCCCATCTTCTCTTCATTCCTCCTCCCTTCCCCTTCCCTGTTCCTCTCCCTTCTTCTCTGCTCCCCATCTTCCCTCCCCTCCCCTTTCCCTCCCCCAGACCCCACTTTTTCCATGCGCAGCAGGTAGGCATCTATGAGGTCCCGGGGGGCACTGGGGTCCAGGGTTTCCCGGTGCTCTTCCACACTGCGGGCAATGAAGGCACTGATTTCCCGCAGGTTTTTGCAGACCTGCCTGTGCGTGCCGGGAAAGAACTTCAAGAAGTCAGAGAAGAGCTCAAACAGCTGCAAGAGAGAGGGGCAGTGAGGTCAGCCTGGGGCAGGAGACAGGAAAAGGGCGACTCTCCCACATCCCAAATCCTCCATGGGGATCTTCTCAGTCCCCGTGTCTGTTCCTGTCACCTCCCTCTCAGCCCCTCACTCACTGACCCCATGTCTCCTTTGATCTCTTCTACATTATCTCTTTCTGCCCCTGCTCCCTCATCCTGGTGTCTTTTCCTTGCTCTCTGCCACGCCTCCCTGTCTCTCCCCTCTCTCCCTCTCTTTATCTCTCTGTCTCCCTTTTCATACCATCTCTCCGTGCCTCTCATTGTCTACCTCAGCCTGTTCCTTTGTTTTTCTCCTTCTGTTCTCTGCTTCCTCCTCCCTCCTCATCTCCCTCACTGTGTCAGGCCTTGGTAAAACGATGCTCACACAAGACGCACCTGTCAATCACTGAGTAGTATCGATTTATTTTGGAGCACATTTCTATTGCCTTAGCTGATCATAAATACAATGCCTAACCTCTTGCAAACAATTGCAAACAATGCAAAAATGTATATCATAAGATGTAAATTCCTTCTTAATCCCTCCCTCTAGAGAGATAACCATTGTTAAGTGTTTGGTGGGTCTCCGTGCAGACCTTCCTGTCTCCATGGTTCTCCAAGGGAGGGGAACATCGGAATCCCCTGTGGAGTTGACCCCACTACTCCCTGGGGACCCCATCCCAGCCTTTCAGATCAGACCCTGCAGTAGGACATGCTGGGAACCCACATTTGTGACAGTCCCACGTGGGAATCAGACACACCCCTGCTCAAGAACCATAGCTACACCCCCTGCTCTGCATGCGCTTCATATTCTTAAACTTAATGTGCAGTAGGAATATTTCCACAGCCGGGCGCGGTGGCTCATGCCTGTAATCCCAGCACTCTGGGAGGCCAAGGAGGGCGGATTGCTCGAGGTCAGGAGTTCAAAACCAGTATGAGCAAGAGTGAGACCCTGTCTCTACTATAAATAGAAAGGAATTAATTGGCCAAGTAACATATATAGAAAAAATTAGCCGGGCCAGCATGCCTGTAGTCCCAGCTACCCGGGAGGCTGAGGCAGTAGGATTGCTTGAGCCCAGGGGTTTGAGGTTGCTGTGAGCTAGGCTGACGCCACGGCACTCACTCTAGCCTGGGCAACAAAGGGAGACTCTGTCTCAAAAAAAAAGAATATTTCCAAGCTAGTCAATTAGAGAAACTTTATTATTTGTTTTAAAAGTGCAGCTTAGTACTTTATGTTCTGAGAAAAGTTCTTTAAAGAAATCCACACAAAGGGAGAAGGACAAATGGGAAAAATGGAAGAAATGTGGTTCCCTATTGTGATACACCCTTGAATTTCCTCAGGTGAGGGGCTTTACCTAGGACAGAGAAGCAACAACACAGGAGTCAGGGCCTAGAAGAGCAGAGGCTGAAAGTGTGACTTAGTCTCCTCTCCCTCCCTCACACCCAGCCCCTCCCCCAACCTGTTAGTGTCAACCCAGTTTCTCAGGATTCCCTTATCCCTGCCCTTCCTTGTCCTGTTGTCACTCACTTCTCTGTATCCCAAATCCTCATTTGCTTAGTTTTTCTCTGAGTCTCTATTTCTGCCTCCCATCCCCCCATCCTTTCTCTCAATATCTCTGTCCCTGTCCCCAGGCCTCAGTGTCCCTGTCTCTCCACGTGTCCCTGCCTTTCTTCCAGGAGAAGCTGCATTTCTGGGACCCCCAAAAGGGTCATCCTTTTCCCCTGCCCTGGATGTCACCTCGTCCCCCCTCCCTGTCCCTCTCCATCCCTCTGACCTGGCCAGATAGAGAGCTGACCAGTGCGAAAGACTGGTAGAACAGGTCCAGCAGCTTCAGAAATTCTTCATCTTGGTAGTGGAAGCGTTTTCCAAACACAATGGAGCAGATGATGTTGGCAGTGATGCACTGGAGGAGGAAGGTGGGGTCCAGGAGGGCTCCTAGGAGGAGGAGGAGGAGATGGCAGGTCAAAGGACAGGGACTCAGAGGCGGGGGACCTCTGGCTGTCCCCACCTCATCTCTGTGTCACTGTCCAGCATTGCTCAATCATGATAAAGATAAGGAAAGCAGCAGAGCCAACACTCACTCCCGTTGGGTGTCGGGCCCCATTCTAAGCACTTCCGATACCACTCTTCCTACTCTCACCGCAACATGGAGAAGCAGACAAAATTCTACTATTCTCCCCATTTTATAGCTGGGAAAACAGAGGCTTTACGTAATTTGACCGAGATCACACAGCTATTCATTACGGGAGCCAAGAATCCAATGCAGGCAGTCCGGCTACAGGGTGTGTGCAGTTGGTCCTCACCCTGCACCTGTAGATAAGAGTTGTTTTAAGTCCCAGGGGCAGGGGTGTGGCAGCGTACGTGTTCAGGCAATTGCTTGTGCAAATCAGAAAGCCCTGATCTCTCTAGCCCTACTGTGACTCCCCTTTCAAAGCTCTTTCTACACGTGGGCTGTCTGGGCACCGGCAGTTGCTCTGCACGTGTTGGTTGGTGTCCGTGCACACAGGCTCAGCCCGGCCACGGTGTGCTGACGCTGGGCTGTGAGCGCCTGAGAGGGGACACCAGGTTGCTGTGGCCTCTCTCTCTGCGTCTCACCTGTCTGTCTTCTCTCCTTCCTTTGCAGACATTTTCCTGACCCTCATCTGCCCGAGTCTCTGACTTTCCTAGCCTCCATTTCTCTCTGCCTTCGTTTCTTCCTGCCTCCCTGAGTCTCTCTCCTTGTGTGTCTGAGCACATCTCTGTGTGCCTTTCTCTTTATTTTGGTCCCTTTACCGCCATCTCTTTCTCCTTTCCTGTCTCTCTACCTGTGTCTCTGTCTCGTCCTGTCTTTCTTCCCAATCCTTCTGTCCCTGCTCCCTGTTGCCCCCAAAATCTCTCAACAAGTTTCATAAGAGAGATGGTAAAGACCTGGCATAATTTCAACAGACGTGCTAAGAAAGGGCCCTGTCACCGGTATGTCCCATAAATACCCAGTTATACAGAATTAAAGAGCAACCAAAAGTGCTTCCCTGACCCACGGCCACCCGCCCGAGAACAGAACACCCACCCAGCTCTGCTCACGGGCAGCTCATCAGCATGTCACCAAAGGAAAGGAAAACTTTTCCCTGTCTTCAAATTGTCTGCAGTTTTCCCTTTCCTCTTTTTGCTTTGTTTTATATGATTTCTGTTCTAGCCTTAGAGAGATACAATTAAACCATGAATTGCTTTCCCTGAGCCCAGTAAACAGCGCCCTACTTGCTAAGTGCACGTTTGGGATGTTCTTGGACACTACACACCCCGCATCGCCCTCTTTCCCGGGCTCTCCATGTCTCTCGCCTACCCACGTATCTCTGTCCCCTGCCGGTCCCTGTCTCTCCCTCTCTCCCTGTCCCTCTGCCTGATGGTCTCTCGGGCTTTGTCTGGCTCTGGCCCTGCCCACGTTTACCTCTCTGCCTTTCTATTGCTGTTCGCCCGCACCTCTCTGTGTTTCACCGTCCTTCCTGCCAGCCCAGGACTCACCCTTGGATTTCCGCAGCTCCTCCACCAGGCACTGAGCCTCCTCCTGAATCCGCTCCTCCACGCTCCGCTTCCCCATCCCGAAGTCCCTCATGGTGGCCAGAGAAAACCGCCGGAGGGTCTTCCAGCGGTTCCCGTTGGAAAAGATCACGCCTGGGGTGTGGGGAGGTGTGCATGGCAGAGGACATTGGAGAGAGGCTGTGTGTCCTTCTTCACTCATATTTCCCCCTTCCCCGGAGCATCCTCCACCCGGCCCTGCCTTGGAGGCTCTCACCATATTGCTGGAAGACTGGCTCCACCATGGCGACTTTGCCCCGGCCAGAGAAGTCCTCAGCCTGGTCCACCAGGGCCTCCTTTATGGCCTCTATCCCGCACAGCATGACCGCGGGCCTCCTTCCCAGGTATACCGTGAAGACATCCCCGTATTTCTCTCGGAGCTGCCAAGCGCACCACAGCCTGGGTTACATGAGTCAGCACAGCCCTCAGTGGTCAGTGGTCAAACTGTGAAACACTCACACAGCAGACTGGTAAGTAGCCGCCTTCCCCAAGACCCTCCTCCCTAGACTGCCCTTTCACCTTCCCAGGACTCAGCAACTAAAGGGTTAACCTGTGGCCCAGCCAAGGACTGCTCTGATTGGTTGGTGCCCTTAAGGGTTCAGGTGCTTAAATATTTCTGATGTCACCCCTACCCACATAGCTTTCAGTCTGACCACTTCTCCCTGGCAGCTCAACCAAAGAATCATACTGTTCATTATCAGCCATTTCGCTGTCCATGGTTTCAATTCCCCATGGACAACAGTGGTCTGAAAATATTAAATGGAAAGTTCCAGAAAGAAACAACCATAAGTTTTAAATTGCGCACCATTCTTGGTAGCATGATAATACCTCAGGCGACCCGCTCTGTCCCACCTGGGATGTGAACCCCCCTTTTGTCCAGCATGTCCACACTGCATACGCTACTCACCTCCTACAATGTGAGTGGCACTACGGTCATTTTAAGCTTTGTCATTTACAGAGAGCAAGTGTTTACACTGATACTTTTCTGAGCAAGTATAAGCCTAAAATGTTGCATCTTCAAGAAGATTCATGGAAGGGATTCTGACAAATACAGGTTTCTAAAATATAACTTTCAGATCATACCATTGGATGGGTAAGAAATCCCAGAACTGCATGTTCAAAAACCTGCTAACCCAATATCAAGTGGAACAAAAAGTAATTAAATATCAAACAAAATGATTTGGCGGATTTTCATGCTAAGTCAGCCAGTACTGAAATTGTTAAGATATACAACTTGAACTAACTGGGTAATTTTCCCCCACAAACAGAGAGCAGCCTAGACGTGGGCAGCACGCCCCGAACTGCGGATCAAGACATCTCTGCCATTAGGAAAGCGTTATCTTTTTTCCTTTCTCCGCTACTTCCTGCTGTCCTCATCCCTTCCTTTTCATTGCAGAAAAACCCATGAGATGAGAGTCTGTGGATGGCTTTAGCAAATGTTTATTATTCTCTAGCAAGAAAACTGAGCGATTGCTGGTTTTGTGGGCTAATGGTTTTCCAATCCGGAAACATTGATGCCATTGCCTCCTTGTGTTCCCAATGAGAGTCATCCTGAAGCCCCAAAGGAAGAGTGGAAAGCTCTCCTTGATATTCTAGACATCACCAACACTTCCTTTCCTGCACTCACTGGTAACAGAACCCTGATCTTTTCAATCCATAACCTAATTACTACCATATATAGAAAGCCTATATGAGAGTCACCTGCCAAAGGTATATTGTGCTCCCAGTTGTCACATGCATGAGACCTGGGGACTACCTATGAAGGAGTGAATCACTGCTTGCATAATGTTCCTGGATTAAATTTAAATTGAGTAAGGTCCCTTTGCACTAAATGTGGTTGTGCTCCCTTAGAGCATGCTATAAAAAGATTGCCAAAAAGTAAGTTTCCCACTAGATCTTGTTCAAGAGCTAGGCAGGCTTATGGCAGGACAGATTTAATGGACCTCTGCTCAAATGCCACTAAGTTGTCCTCTTGTCCAGTCCCTGAGGGCCCGTATTGGGTCAGCTGAGGAGTTGTTTACTCTGCTGTGTCTCCTCAGTGGTTCAGATCTTGCTAATTGGCCTGGCTCAATCCGGCCTTCCAAATGGCGTTGCCTAAAAGTTCCCGTAATACCCCTCGTTATCAGAGGTCAAAGTGGTCAATAACTGAAATTAGTACCAACCTCAAAATAGTAGATAACTTAGTTCCCACTGAGCACAGTGGGGTTTCTGGAGGCCTTAGGTGGTATTGGGGTCCCAGTGGATGGACCTTAAGACTAATCTATACAATGGGGAAATCTCAGATTTTATAACCAATTAGACCTCCCAGCATTTCAGACAGGTAAAAGCCACTCTTCCAAAGGTGGGTGAGAATATTTGTGTTGAACAAAAGCAATTCAAGCAGTATTAAGCAGTTTTACCTCTTCTGTTTGACCATGTTGGGGGCTTGTATATGGTGCAGAGACTAACCAAACGTTGCACTTACCTTGCCCCTGGTTTTACAACTACAGAAAGCTTAATGAAAGGTGGCTGATACAGCTGTTTTTATAGACATTGTATAGACAATGTCACTGTAATGACATTTATCAGGTTAAAGGAACACGTCACATGTTTACGGGGGCAGCTCACAGTTGGTTAGCAGGCGTTCTGAATGGTGAATGGCAACCCTGGCTATCCCGAGGTTTTCTAACTTTTACATGTCTTCTAGTGAGTCCGCAGGTTACTAAGACTGTGTTCCAGGCTAACTGTAAAATCGGACACCTCTTTACACCACACCATTTAATTGCAAGCTCTGGCTCTTAATCACTATGATGCTCTTGACAAAGGCTATGACTCCAATATAGTTATCTTTATCGCCTGAATCTTCAATTGTTTGATTTTGTTTGGTTCTTGGAGACCCCTTTAATAGGGGGTGTAGTTCAGTTTCCTGGTCCTACCCTCCGGATGGTCAGCACATGGGCCTCTCTGATGTGTTATATCCCCTCAAGCGTCTCCAATGCTTGTTTGCTGCCCTCCTTTGTACACGAAAACGCCTCCTTACAATTAGAATAACAAAGACATGAAGAAAGCATAGAGTCATCCAACTAATTGACGTTATGAATTGTGAATTCCATACTGAGACCAAACAAGTCCATTATGATGGTGACAAAAGGCGGTGTCTGTGCCCAGGGTTTTGGTCAATCCCTCAAAATTGTGAGGCTGACCGGGAGGGGGCAATTGTTCAATTAAATTAAATTTGGCCTAAAGCTACCTCTGTACATAGTAAAGTATAACTTACTATGTAAACCAACTGCAAACCAACTCGAGAGAATATTCTTGCAACAAGTAGCCCAGTCTCAGCTACCCAGAGCAACTGAGCTTTCAGCCAATCAGAGGCTGCGAACTGCTCAGACATGTCCAAATGAGGCACATTCTGAGCTGTAACCAACCAGGCTGTTCCTGCATGTCACTTTCTTTTTCTCTCTATAAGTCCTGCTGGCCCACGTTGCGGGACGCTGCTCTCTTAACATTTACTGGTTCATGGCGCTGCCCTATTGTGAATCTTTTCCTTGCTCAAATAATCTCTGCTAAATTTAATTTGTTTAAAGTTTTTCTCTTAACACCACCATCCATGCTTCAGCTCCATGCCCCTTCCTCACCAACCTTCCCCACCCCACCCTTGAGCCCGGAAGGCTGCCTCACCCTTTCTGCTGGGGGACCCCCAACTGTCAATGCAGGAACCAGCCCACCCTCAGACCCCATCCATGCGCATCTTACCTTCAGGAAGGACCTGAGTAGGCCTCTCCTGTCCATCTGCAGAATGTTCCCCAAGAAGGGCAGAGGATGGGGACCTGGCGGGAGGTGGCCACGGGCCTTTGGACGGCCCTTGACCAGGAGTAGAATGAAGCCCGTGAGGACTGCAACGAAGAGGAGGACACTGAGCTCCATGGTCCCTGTCTGACTGTCTTCTACCCCACGGCAGACTCCAGCTGGGCCTTTTATCCTAGCCTGCTCCACACCCAGTTGTGAAACTTCATCCAGTCCCCGCCTCCCCTCTCAGCATTGTCCAGATATGTCAGATTGAGGGTGCGGGGCAACCCATACTTCCCGCTTGGGTAGCACTTGTGACCTCTTCTCTGTCCCTTTACTCTTCCCCTAGATGCTGGCAGGGATTCCGTGGTAGAAATACTAAAGTCCACAGGAGCATGCGAGTGTGTGGGAGTGGGAGTGGATTCTCGTGTGTTTATCTTTGTGGGTGTGGGTGAGCATGGACTTGTCTACTTAGTTGGCTGTTTGTGCGTGTATTTGACTACCTGGTTGTATCTGTGTCTGTGCTTATATAATGTCTGTGCTTTTATATATGAAAGGGTGTTTGTATTTATGCAACTGTACTGGGGTGTGTTTCTCTGTACACGTCTGGGTGTGCTTATGTGTGTATTCTTGCATGTGTGGGGGCTTCTGTGTATTCATATAATTTCATATGTGAAGGCATGCTTGCAGTCGTGTGGTGGAGGTGGTGGTGGTGTATGTTCAAAACTGAGCAGCTGACCGAAACGAGGGAATTGTTCAATTAAATTAATTTGGCCTAAAGCTGCCTTTGTAACACGGTGAATGGTATTCTGACTTAGACTGCAAGGGTCTGTGTGTGCTGCGTGTGTTTGTGCTTGAGTGTCGGTGCGTGTCCTAGGCCCTGACCTTGTAAGTCCTACAGATACTCAGTATCTATGTCCTTTGTCCCCTCCTTCACCCTCACTTCTGTGACAGCCACAGCTGGAAGTAATGGGATAAAGAGAAGGAGGGGCAAGAGATGCAGAACTGGTGAGACTTGGAGGAAGGGCCAGGTGGAAAGAGCTGGAGAGACTGAGTCCTGGCATGTGAACTGGTCACATCCTCTTGGTCTCTGATGGCTCTGACTAGTGCTGGGCTGTTCACTACATGCCTCTGGTGAGCTTCAGAGCACAGGAAGTTTCGCTGACACTGTCTTCCTACCTCTTTCTAACTTCATATATCTGTTTTCCACTTTAGACTCTGAGTACAGGAGGGCAGAGACTAGGTCCACTTTGATTGATGTACCCATCTGTCCCATCTGTCTCCATTGCCACTTAAGCCTGCAGCCACCTAGGCTCTGCAAGGGTCTCTCCATATTTTCCAAATATTGGAATAAATGTGTCCATGTTAACTTGTCTCTGCCCGGCCATGCCTTTCCACCATCAGGTAGCAACACTTTTGCAATGATAAGCAAATCCCTGCTGGATCCAGGACCCTGACCCTGGCAGTTACTTTGACCCAAGAGGGAGGAACAGATAGACTGTGTTTTTAAGGGGTGGAGGGTGTACCTTCCTGACCTTGGAGAGCTACCAGCATGGACTCTCTTGAACCTAGGACTTGGATCTTGCTGTGCTATGTGATGTGGCACTAAGCGTAGGTCCTCATCCAGTCCCCGTGGGAAGGCATGAAATGCTTTACCCTCAGTAACTCAGTCCCCACACTTTGAGGTAGTTATTATTTTCACCCCTATTTTACAGATGGAGGGAGTGAAGCACAGAGAGGTTGAGAGTCTTACCTAAGGTCAAACAGGGGGTCAGAGCTACATTGTCCAATAGGGTAGCCACTTGCCGCATGTGGCCATTAATTCAGCACTTGAAATGTGGAATGAGTAATTAAAATTGAAATTTAATTTAGGTTTAAACGTTAATACTGACCACCTACTGTCTCAGAGATTAAACTGGGCATCCCAGTGCAATTCACACTCTTAAGAAGACCACAGGTCTGGAGAAAAAGAAAGGATTTCAAAGACCTCCATCTTCTTCATCAACAAGAGACAGGGAATCTGCTCACATACATAGCTCTCCACTGCCACCCCTACAAACCTCTAGTTACTGAGAAAACCATCACGCTAAGGATATCTATAAGCAAGGCATCTGTCCACAACCTAGACCCCCATCAAGGCACCCAGAAGCAAAGCTGAATGTTCTTACCAAACATACACTACACACACACTCTTAAGAGTCAGTGGGGACCGGGCATGGTGGCTGATGCCTGTACTTCTGGCACTCTAGAAGGCTGAGGTGGGCAGATCGCTCAAAGGTCAGGAGTTCGAAACCAGCCTGAGCAAGAAGGAGACCCTGTCTCTACTAAAAATAGAAAGAAAGAAATTAATTGGCCAACTAAAAATATGTATAGAAAAAATTAACCAGGCATGGTGGCACATGCCTATAGTCCCAGCTACCCGGGGGCTGAGGTAGAAGGATTGCTTGAGCCCAGGAGTTTGAGGTTGTTGTGAGCTAGGCTGACACCATGGCACTCTAGCCCAGGCAACAGAGTGAGACTCTGTCTCAAAAAAAAAAAAAGGAGTGAGTGGGGTAAAATCTACATCTAAAGAAAAGAAAATCCAAAGACTGAAGCAATAGCTACTCCAGATGAGGAACCAATATAAAAACTCCAGCAGAGTGAAAAATCAGAGCTAAAGGACATCCCAAAAAGGGCACACCAAGTTTCTCTCAATGGATCCCAACCAGAATGAAAATATTAAAATGACAGATAAAGAATTCCAAATAAGGATTAAATTAATGTAAGGAATTTCAATGAAATCCAAGAGAAAATGGAAAACCAACTTAAAGAAACCAGAAAACAAATTCAGGAAATGAATGAAAAATTTATCAAAGATCTAGACTATTTAAAAAACAGGCCAGGCACTGTGGCTCACACCTGTAATCCTACCACTATGGGAGGCCAAAGCGGGTGGATCCCTCAAGGTCAGGAGTTTGAAGTCAACCTGAGCAAGATCCCACCTCTACTAAAAATAGAAAAACTAATTGACCAACTAAAAAATATATATATATACAAAAAATTAGCCGGGCATGGTGGTACATGCCTGTAGTCCCAGCTACTCGAGAGGCTGAGGCAGTAGGATCACTTGAGCCCAGGAGATTGAAGTTGCTGTGAGCTAGGCTGACACCACGGCACTCAATCTACCCTGAGCAACAAAGTGAGACTCTGTCTCAAATTAAGAAAAACAAAACAAAAACAAAGACCATTGAAACTTCTTAAAATGAAAAATTTATTTAAGCAAATATAAAACACAGTGGAAACCTTTAAGAATAGACTATGCCAGGCAGGAGAAAGAATTTCAGACCTTGAAGACAACTCTTTCAAATTAACCTATCAGTCAAAAATAAAGAACAAAAAAATCAAGAGGAATGAACCAAAGCCTATAAGAAATATGGAATTATGTAAAATGAACAAATATAAGAATCATAGGTGTCCCTGAGGGCAAAGTGGAAAAAGTACAAAAACTATAAAACCTATTTGAGGGGAAAATTGAGAAAAACATCCCTGATCTTTCTAGAGATTTAAACATCCAGATACAAGAGGCTCAACGAACACCTAGGAGGTTCATTGCAATGATGTAATAACCAAGACATATAGTCATCAAACAGGCAGGAATTCTGGCAATCCATGAGACAAAAATCCCAAGTAACTTGCAAAGGAACCCATCAGGCTAACCCTAAGGCTTCTCAGCAGAGACCTTACAAACCATAAGGGATTGGGGCCCCATCTTCAATGTTCTTAAACTGAACAATTGTTAGCCTAGAACTTTGTATACTGCAAAAATAAGTTTTATATATAAAAATAAAGAGTTTTATTTATAAAGAGTTTTATATATAAAAAAATAAAGAGTCTGCCAGACATCAAACACCAAGGAATCTGTCACAACCAGACCTTCCCTGCAAGAAATACTCAGAACTGCATTATACATGGATCTGCACAATAGAAACCTGCTGATGTAAAATTACCTAAAAGCTAAAGCTCCCAGGTCATATAAAACAATAGCACAAAAAGGAAAACAAAGCAATAAGGCAGTATCCAACATGATGAACAGAACAACATGCTACATATCAATTCTATCATTCTACATGAATGATCTGAATGCCACACTCGAGAGATATAGACTGGCTGAATGGATGAGAAAATACAATCCAAGTTTCTTCTGAGTCCAGGAAACAAATATGACCCACAAGGACTCACAGAGCCAAGGTGAAGGTATGGAAAAAATATTCCATGCAAATGGAAACAAAATGAGAGCAGGTGTACCCATTCTCATATTGGATAAATTTGACTTTCAATCAACCATGATATAGAAAGATAAACATGGTCATCATATAATGGTAAAGGGAGCAATTCAACAAGAAGACATTACAATCCTAAGTATATATATACCTAACATAGGAGGCCACAGATTCATAAACAAATTCTACTAGATTTAAGCAAAGAGATAAACAGCAGCTTCATAATTGCTAGGGATTTCAATACTCCACTGACAGAACTTAACAGATCATTGAGGCACAAAATAAATGAAGAAATGCTAGACATATATGAGACTCTAGAACAAATGAACCTAACAGACCCAATGTTTAGAGAACATTCTACCCTAAAACTACTGAATGTACATTTTTCCTATCAGCACATGGAACATTCTCTAAGATTAACCATATCTTAAGCCACAAGATATGTCACATATTCAAGAAAAAATCAAAATCATACCACGTATCTTCTCAGACCACAGTGGAATAAACCTAGAACTCAATTACAAAAGAAACACTCAAATCTATACAAAGTCATTGAAATTAAACAACCTGCTGCTGAATGATTATTGTCACTAATGAAATTAAGATGGAAATCAAAAGATTCCATAAACTGAATGACAAAGGGAACACAAGCTATGGGATTCAGCAAAAGCAGTCAGTCCTATGGGGAAAATTCATAGCCTTAAATGCCTACATCAAAAAGACAGAAAGATTGCAAATTAAAAACCTAAGGACACACCTCAAGAAAATAGAAAAGGAAAGGCAAACGAAACTCAAAGCCAAGAGAAAAAAAGAAATAATTAAATTTGGAGCAGAACTCAATGAAATGGAAAACATGAAAGAAAAAATACAAAGGATGAACAAAACAAAACTTTGGTTCTTTGCAAAGGTAAGCAAAATTGATAGACCTTTTGCTAGGTTAACCAGGAATAGACAAGAAAGGCCCTAAATAAGCTCAATCATAAGTGAAAGAGGAGATATCACAACTGATATCACAGAAATACAAAATATCAT